AAATATTGAGATATAAAAATTATATTCTTTCAACTCAAAAATAGCAATTTGGTTTCTATCACAATCTACTTTAAAATACAAAAAGCTCTTTTTTAAGAGTCAGAAAAAACACATGGTTGTATTTCATTTTAAACCATATTTCTATTTACTTACCCTATAAAATTTTATTATAAAAATATTTATATACTCAAAATTCCTAACTTTCTTATCATACTTCTTTGCAAAAAAGTGTATGAAAGTTAAAATATAAATTAATCAAAATTTCCTGGGAGATAAGGTGCTAAGTGTTAAAATTTTTCTTCTGGAATAGTTTTTATAATTACTATGATACATAATTGATCCAACAACATACATTTAATATATTTTCATTATTATTAAATATAAAAGTAAAATTTTATTAGAAATGCATCTTATAATGAGTTAAATTGCACATCTAAGAATATATATTTGTCATAATGAACCATAATAAATATTGGTTCTATACCCACCTTCATTTTTATGACTGTAACATGGGAGAAAATTCACTCACATAAAGCAGCAGATGAGCATGGAAGTTTTTTCATAGCAAAATCACTGAATTCTTTAAATTCCTTCTGGGTTATAGACTAAACCATATAATCACCTATCATCAAGTATTATTATTAATAATCTCTTGGCTGACAATTCAATTAGGTCTCTTTCAAAATTTGTTTCAAAACTAGAAAAGAATTTGTCACCCCATCAGTAAAGTTATTCATTTTCTCAATTCCCGTTAAGCATATAAAAAAGACCTTACAAAGATTCATCATTTTTCTCTTTCAGTCAGAGGGTTCTTCTTTATCCTAGACACTGAGATAGGATTGGGAAAACTGAAATACCGTTTATTTCAACAACCTCCGCCAAATAAATAAGTCATATTATCACTTGTTTTAAATGTATTTCTGAAAATAATAGAGCACCTCAGAGATGACGATACAGCTCCTTTGGTTTAAGGAGAATATCCACTTTATTACGTAAAGGGCAAAACCTGTTGTTAATGCCAAACTAATCAGCCAATGAGGCTTACTTTTTCAGAAAAGTATGACTTAATTTTCCAATTCAAATAAATATGTTAACCCATGTCCCCACACGCCTCATGTCATCTGAATTCCAATTCTAAAATTTCAATAAGCCACAGAAATTTACACGAGCTTGTCACTTGGAAGAAAAAAGGCACTGGCCCCTTAAGCATTTCTCTTTTGCTCCTTTTTTCTCTTATCTCAGGAATGATATTCTTCAATAATAGAGAGAGAATGAAAAGGTCATTTCATAAAAATTGTTCCCATTTATGGAACTCAGCACATGCCAATTTATTATTATTATTTTTTTAACCCTGAACAGATATGTGCAAGTTGAAGAGACTCTGGACAGAGCATTTTCCAGTATGGTCCTTCCATGTCTTTGTCCCCACAGCTAATTCTTCCCACCACTTGTTGCAAATGACCTTGATCCCAACTATCCCTCCTCACCTCTCTGAATAAAATCCAAAATGATCAAACAAAAGATGCTAATCTCTAAGAATAATTCCTCCATCTTCTGAGATTCATTCTTGACTAATTATTCCTGAGAGGAGACAAACTCCAGATGACTTTCCCATCCCCCTTATAAAACATACCACCCTGTTTCCCCAAAGTAGAATGTTCCTTTGACATCCTTTCTCATGTCCAGCATATTGAATAAAGGCTTAATCTTTGCTCTGACTGATTTTTTCCCACACAACACAGGGCAAGACAAGAAGCTCTACCTAATACTTGAAGTAATGGAGGCTTCACTAACAGTAGGAATTTGAATTGTCCTGTTTTTCTGGACCCTCGAGGTTTCCCACCTTCTTCCCCAGGTCACCTCACTGGTAAATATACTCCATGAGAGTATGTCTTTCTTCTTTTAAGTAGAAGAGCAATGTGAGCAGGATGTGAAAAAAGAGAAAGCAGCATAATACTTTGCTACTATAATTAAAGGAGCCTTGTCAGGAAAGAAACATGGAAGTTGAGAACTGGGAAAATGGTTCTTGTGGAACTACTTGCATTCAGAAGTTTGAAGAGCACTGGTTTAGCATGTCTAGAGCACAAGTTAAAAGGAAAGAAGTCACCATAAGCAGTCTTCCGTTAAAGAGCAGATGCATACCCACAAATACAGCAACTATAGGAATTATCAGAGAGCACATACGAATATAAATATATTTACAGCATTTAAAGAAGTAAGAGTACTTAAAAATATAGTAACAAAAGACTATCAGAAATGGGTAGGCCAATTTCAAAACAAAAAATAACAGAATATCTAGAAATAAAAAATTAAAGTAGAAACACAATAATGGGGTTATACAATACGATACCTATATGGAGATGAACACAGACCTAAAGAAATTACACCAAATGCAGCTCAGAGAGACAAAGGGATGCAAACTATGAATGCATTAAGAGACAAAGAAATAAAGGAGAAAAGTGGAACACATGTCTAATCAAAATTTCAGTAGAGAATAGAGATAACAGAGGAAGAATATGCCAAAGTGCCAAACAAAGTACTACTTACATAAAAGGAAATCAAGGACTAGAAAATCAGAATACAAATCATAGAGAAGAGGTTGATAAACTGGCTATATTTCAAAATTAAGAACTTTTGAACATCAAAGGACTTTATAGAATGAAAAATCAACCTATGAACTCAGAGAAGACATTTGCAATGCATACAACAAAGGAATAGCACCTAAATTATTAAGACAAATGGTGAAATAGAATGGTCAAAAGCAATAAATAGCATTTCAACAGGGAATCACAAATGGTTAATTAACATATGAAAAGATGCTCAATCTCATTAAGATCAAATGAATTGCAAATTTCACTCCAATGGCACACCATTTCACTTTACCAGATTGGCAAAAATTAAAGTGTAATAACATCAAACATGGTGGGTACATTAATGTTCATTTTATTATTCCTTAAACTGTATGTATACACTATGTATGTTCTTTAATACACATGTTTCATTACAAAATATTTTTTAAGTGCCACTTGGATTTAGCAATAAAAATGTTTGTTCGTGCCCCCGCTGAGAGCAGTTTCAGTGACATAATGGGCATGAAAACCAGACTTCAGTGGGCTGAAAAGATCGTAAGGGATAAGGATGTAAACACAACTACAGACAGCTATTTCCAGCTAATCTTTGAGGTTGGGACAGGACAGCAACTTTAGGGGAATGTCATAGTGAGAGCTTCTTTTATTTTTTTAAATAAAGAAAACTAGGGTAGTTTAGAAAGAAATGCAAAGGGAGACAGAAAGGATAATGACACAGGGCATAAAGGGTCCCTGGGTAGTCACAAAGGCATACAATACAGAGCCCATGAATAGAGATTAGTTTTAGATAGGAACAATAGCTCCTATTTCATTGTTGTAAGAGATTACCTCTTTTTGTCCATATCATATCATTTTTCTCCTTGCTCTAACCACTCCAGTTACAATGATCCTCCTTCAAACAGCCCTGCCTCAGGACTTTTGTCCTTGTTATTCCCTTTATGGAGAAAAGAGAATACTCTTTCCCAGATGCAGCAATGCCTGTTTTTCATTCCCTTCAGGTCTTTGCTCAGACATGAATTCAGTGAAGAGTTCCCAGACCACTCTGAAAGTGAAATCCCTCCTCACTCCTTACCACTCTGCTTTTAGTACTTCCTATTCTCTTTCCCTGCTTATTTTTCTCCATAACCTCCTAATATTCTACACAACATACTCATCTTATTGTTTAATCTACCCATCCGACCGTATCCAAACTCCATGAGTGTAGAAACTGTAGCCACAGTGCCCGATATGGGTAGAAGGTCAATAAATACATGCTGAGTGAATGATTAATGGTCCCTGTTTGAGGAACCTGATTAGCAAGTACAATAGAAATAATAATGTCAGATTTGAACAAAATGAGGTAAAGCCTAGACAGTATTCAACTTACTGACAACAGAAAAGGTGATATTTCAGTTAGATCTTGAATCATGAGGAATTTGCCAAGTGGAGGAAAAATAGGTAGACATTCAAAGATGAAGAACATGAAAGTTTGAAAGGGCCTTGCACATGCGAGAAATGAAAATGGGTACATGTAGATGATCAGATTTTAGCTGGCCTGACAACATTCACAAAAGAGGATACATTACATTGAACTTAATTCTAAAAATTATCTTCAGAAGATTTGAAGATTTACAGTTGCTGAGTTAATTATTTGCAGTACAGTTCAAGTATGGAATATTAAGTCAAGTTGACATAACACTATTACATCTACTCTCTTCACTGCAAAGGAAAACAAGTTTGAACAATTTTTATCTGTGTTTTCCATCAACTGTAGATTATAATAATCAAAGTGAGACTATTGCTACTAAACGTCTCAACCCCAGGTATTCTTTAAGCCAACACTAAACATTCTCACTGGTGGGAGAGAGCAATTTGGATGCAGAGGTGGGAAAGGTACAATTCAAAGGCTCGTTTTGTAGCAGATACTCTCTGTTTAACCACTTGGGAGTTTTTGAATTGGCTGGCATGTGTCATAACTCACCTGTACTTATGACTGTATTTTTAAAATCCGTCTGTATTCCTTTTTCCCACATCACTACTGTTTTTGGGACACCCACCTTCGATGCTCCAACTCAATGATTCAACTACCCAGGTTATTTTCAGGTCGAGAGGGCAGGCTCTTGTGTGTACACACAGGGGAAAAGAAACCGACTCAAAACCTCAGGTCAGTGTGTTTAGTGTTCCTGAGGCCATGCAGTCCGCTTAGGATTGTGTGAACCCAACACAGGGCGGCGGTGGACACCACGGTGCTGATGCAGTTTTGCTTTTCTGGGACCTGCGAGGGTGCAGAGAGAAAGTCTGGAACCCTAAGAAAGGGGGGCAGGGGTTAGCGCTCAGGTCTAAAGCCAGGGGGCGGGGCCTGCCCCCAGAACCGAGGAGCGGTGTGTGGGCCCCGGAAGGAGAGGGAGGCCGCGGCGACTCGGGAAGACTCACAGTAATAGGCCACAACGGGGTCGCGCTTGTCATGCTCCTGAGCCGTCCTCAGATGATGCTGTATGCTCTTAAACTGTGGTGGCAGCGGAGGCAGCGGGGCCAGCGCAGCCATCTCCGCTGCAAGCCTCACCACTTCCTACTCGCGCGCCAGCGGCACTTCCGCTTCCGCTGGGAGGTCACGCGCACCAGCACTCCTGGCAAATCCCGCCCACCCTCCCGTTGCTCAGCAACAGCAAGTCAACTACGGCGTTCCAGCAGGAACAAGCTCCGTGTGCTGGGCGCGGGCAGTTCGAGCCTGAGCGACACCCGCGCCCCCTGCTGGTAGGAAAGATGAGAGTTATTTATTTAATTATTAAATTATTAATTAATTAATTGATTTAGGGTGGTTGCCACCAGGACCCCACCCCTCTTCCCTTTTGTGGCAAAAGGAAGGATAGGAAGGGGAAAACAAAAAGAAAATAATGTTTGTTGATTGGGAAAAAAGATGAATGTGTGAACTGGCCTCATTCAGGAATGATCCCTTCCAAGTCCTCGAATTATAGTAACAGCGTCCATAGAGGCTTTTCTGAGCTTATAAACTGTACATTCAATTCTTGCTCAAGGTGAGAGATGCTGTGTTTAAACTTTTAAGTTATGTTCTTCTATATTGACACTTTGCTAAAGTAACCAGCATTTTTCCAACTTAAAACTGAACTTTCGTTCTAAATTGGGTAGTGTATATTTAGTGAATAAATAACCGTAAATCATTTATTTTTGGGAAATAATAAATGATTTGAGAAGTATTTGTCAATGCACAGAGAAGGTATCCTGGTATACTTTTTTTTTTTCTTTTTTAATTGATTTTTAGAGAGAGAGAGAGAAACATTGATGAGAGAGAACATTGATTGGCCGCCTCCTGCATGCCCCGCCCCCAGGGGATCGGGCCCACAACCTGGGCATGTGTCCTGACCAGGAATCAACCGGCAACCTCTGGGTGCATGGGTCCTTGCTCAACTGAGCCACACTGGCTGGTCCTGATATACTTCTTGCTCAATGCTGCTGACTGTAACATTTCCTTCTACCATCAAGGACTTAAATTCTTTTTTTCCTCTTAACCCCATGTTATTATCTTTCATTTTATTTACCTCCATGAATAACCTTCATTATTTCTTTATTTTATCTTAGTCCACATTTTTGAGAGTTCATTTTGAAACTGTTTTCATTGAAATCACACCATTTCCAAGAAGCAAGATCTCAAGCTCTGAAGGTTTCCTCTGTCTACTATTATCTAATCAACACTAAACTGTCCCCAACCCCTAAAGGAGCTGCTCTGTGTCCTTATATTACCCCCACTCCACATCCTTTGTCTACTCTTTTTTTGGCAGAGCCCACCACCTTACTCTGGGTCTGTTTTTTTCACCCAGCAAGAAACTGAGGTCTTTATTCTCCTCAATCTCAGCAACATATTTACTACCACTTGAGGATGTATTTGCTACAAACTGAATATTTGTGCCCCCCACCACCAAATCTATCTGTTGAAATCTAATGCCTGATGTAATGGTATCAGGAGGTGGGGACTTTGGGAGGTGATACATTTCTGTTCTTTTATGAACTACCCAGTGTGTGGTATTTTGTTATAGCAGCCCAAACAAACATTATGACTTCTCTCTCACTCCCACTATCTTGACTTTCCAGTCAGATGTTGCTGGAGTGGGAGAGAAATTAATACAGCAAAGCAGAGTAGTATAACCATAAATGTCTTTTCTCTGTTCTAATGACTTCTCATTTACTCTCTTTGCACTACTTCTTGATTCTCAACTGCAGATATCCTGAAACACCATTTCAGAAGTTTTTAAAAAAATTTTTTTTCTTGTATTGATTTTAGAGAGAGAGGAGGGGAGAGGAAGAGAGAGATAGAAAAATCGATGGGAGAGAACATCGACTGGCCCCTCCTGCATGCCCCTAACTTGGGATCAGGCTCACAACCTGGGCATGTGTCCTGACCGGGAATCGAACTGGCAACCTCTTGGTGCATGGGTCGACGCTGAACCGCTGAACCACTGAGCCACACTGGCTGGACTCAAAAGTTTTTTTTAAAAGATTCCTATTTATGCCCCACCAGTAGGCATTCAGATTGCATTATTCCGGGTTGGATCCTAAGTATCAGTATTTGGAAAAAAGTCTTCAAAAAATTTTAATGGCATATCACAGGGTTGAGGACAAGATTAAGGCCACCAAACAGGAATTATTTCACCTCATCTCTGTCACAACAAAGTAATAATAACTAGCCAGCATTTATTGAGCATCTATTATGTACCGTGTATGTTTCTGGGTGCTTTACATCAACTTGTTTAATCTTTATCACAACCCTATGAAGAAGGTAGTATTATCATTTTCATTATTTTACAGATTAGAAAAATAAGATGGAATTTATGTAGCATACCAGGTCACAGCCAGTAAGTATGAGTGTTCAACATTAAAATCCAGGGTTCTTCAGCCCTGGCCGATTTGGCTCAGCAGTTGGAGCATCGGCCTGAGGACCAGAGAGTCCCGGGTTCGGTTCTTGCTAGGGGCACGGACCAAAAAAAAAAAAAAAAAATCCAGGTACTTCAGTTCCAGAGCTGTGAACCTGACCACTACTACTTGACTTGACTGGCTCTCTAGACCAATATAGTCTTGTGTTTTGTCTTTTCTATGTCCAAAAAACAAGTAAGCTCTTCTTTTCTGGTGAAGACTGCACTTTCTATTATTTTTCTAATCACTCCCTTCAGGAATGAAGGTTGCTCAAGGTTGCTTTCTCAGTTGTATACATTCTGGGAGGGGTGGAGTATGCAATTAATTGAGGTTATTGGATTTGGATTTTGCCCCATCTGCCAACATATGCTCTTTCTTTCCTAAGCACCATATTCCGTACAGTTGAGGATAATTGATATGAGGGGGGGAAAGGAACAGAGATACTGTTAGCTTGATAATACTTTGAAATTATGCTATGAATGAAGGAAAATATGACCTTTAGGTTGCTTTTTCTTGTTGATGTTTTATAATGAAGAATTTACTATGATATTTTACTGTGAAGATAGAACTAAACTCTCCTTCATTGCAATTGCTGAAAAATCTAGCATTACCCTTCAGGATGGAAGTAGGATCTTGGCCAGTGGGGGAGGGCAGAGATAGGGATTGGGGGCACCACAGGAAGAAAAAACGGGAGAGAGACTAGAACTGACAAGTGTTTTGATGGAAAAACTTAAATTTTTGCACCACTCCCTGGACTCCAGTGTATGTATGATCATCTCACAGCAAAACTTTCTGTCCCATTGGTGGTCAAAACTATTTGAATGACAAATGACAGGGCTCAATCAATGTGATCAGGCTACTATATAACTTGCTGTATCTTTTGGGTAAATTGATTATGGTAGAAATTTGGGTTCCAGTATCATGAGACTCACATTCTATTAGGTTAGCATCCCCTAAAATAGAGGTAGTTTTTTCCTTGAGAGTCCCTGCAGAAGACGACGGAAAAGAGAAGACCCTGATGACTTGACCAGGCCTGTTTACCTATCTGTGGCTGGAACAAGGCTGGAGGGCAAAGCTGCAGTTTAGTTTTTCAACATGGATGTGTTACTTTTTGACAGCATTGAATTATGTTAGTGAATTAAACACACACACACACACACACACACACACACACGTACACAACTATATATTTGTAGCTATTTCTGGTCTTTCTAGTGTCCCTGTACCTATCTTCACACTGTTTAGATTGTTGAGAGCACGTAGTGTGAGTCCTCTACTTGTATTTTGATCTTCAAAATTGTGTTGGTTATTCCAGGTCTTTTGTATTCCCATATACATTTTTAAAGCATCCTGTTAATTTCTACAAAAGCTTGCCGAGATTTTGACTGGAATTGTATGGGAACTATAGATTAATTTGGAGTGACTGAAGTGATAAAAGATTAAGTTTTCTAAACCATGAACCTGGTTTACTGTTTCACTTATTTGAACCATCTGTAATTTCTTTCAGCATTGCTTAATAGTTTTCATTGTACAAGTCTAGCACATCTATTGTAAAATTTATCCGTATGTGTTTCATGTTTTTTAATATGATTTCAGATGACAGTTTTTTATTTTAAATTTTATATTTATTTTAATTATTCTACAGAAACATTAACCTTTATGAATTTATTTATTTTAGTAGTTTTTTGTACATCCTTTAGAATTTCCCATGTACATGTTCATTTCTGTAACAACCATATTCTTGTTTAATCTGCATATCATTTATTTTTGTGTTATAACATTTACTAAATAGGTATATTTCAAAATATATATTTATTTATTTTTTGTCTTTATGATCTCCAGTTTCTATGTTAACCAGAAGTGGTGAAATACACACCCCAATTATAGGAGAAATTGTTTATTCTTTCACTATTAAGTGAGATGTTTCCTATAGAATTGCTTAGATACTTTTTATTTAATTTATGTGGTTACCTTTTATAGTGAGAACTTTTTTTGTCTGTTTAATTATAAATGGATGTTAAAATTAATCAAATGCTTTTATCGACTTCTATTAAGATGACTGTGGGCTTTCTCCTTTACTCCATTAATCCAGTTGAATTACATTAATTGTTTTTCAAATATTAAAACAACCTTTCATTCCTGGGGTAAACTCCATTTGAAGATGATGTAGTACCATTATATATATTGCTGTATTACTACTGCTAATATATTTTTGCTAAGATTTTTTAAAAATGTTATTTGTTTATTGATTTTAGAGAACGAAAAAGGGAGAGAGGGACAGAGAAAGAGAGAAGGAACATCGATTTGTTGTTCCACTTATTTATGCATTCATTGGTTGATTCTTGGATGTGCCCTGACGGGGGATATAATCTGCAACCTTGGTGTATTGGGATGGTCTCCAAACAGCTGAGTTACCTCGCCAGAGCAAGAATTTTTTTATATTAAGCTTAAATGATTATTCTTTAAATTAAATGGCAGATATTCCTTTCTAATTCCTAAAAGAGATTGTGGAATAGTATTTTTTCCTTGCACATTTGACGGACTTCACCAGTGACGCTATCTGGGCCTGGCATTTCCTTTATGGAAAGGCTTTTAATTTTTTATATTTAATTTCTTGAATAGTTTCAAGGGCATTCGTATTGTTTATT